TTGAACTGAAGGGTTCTACTTTCGTTATAGATGGACTTAAAAGCATTAAATGAAAAAATTGCAGCGAATAAAGAGAATCGAAAACCAATAGTTAAATTGGGGCAATTAGACGTTGGCCGGCCATACAAGATAGACAAGGCCAGAATAGTAAAGACCCAGTTTGGGGAGGCGAATTCTATTGGAGTTAGAATTATCGGTGGTGTTCCTGCCGAACCGGGTAACGGACAGCTTCCGGCCGAATATAGACCAATTTTCGATGGGCCGCTACAGTCTGGTGTATCGGGGCAGAAATCAGCAGTTGGCCCGCTCAACAATTTGAAATTGTTCAAAATTAAAAATTACGGGGGGGGGAGAGAGAAGGAGAGACGGTAAGTCTTATTTTTTCAAATATTATTATTATTATTATTAGGTCGCAATGAATTTTACGCGAACTATTGAGGACGCTCAAAATTTAATTTTGGCTTTTCGTCAAGTGAACAAGGAGCGAACGGAGGTTAAACCGCCGCGTGCAATGCTCCACCACAGAATCATCTCGGCGTCTTCTACGTCTCTTCTTCGTGTTCGAATGGAGTTGTATCTACCATAGATTCAAATTCGGAATGGCACTGCAGAACCGTATTGGATAACGTCGCAATTGTCAATATTGCTAATTTCACGAATTAGGCAATTATGTGATATTTTGTATGATATTATTAGACAATTACATGCGATGAAATATTAGAAAATTATTGTAGTTTTTTGGTAATTTCGTTGAGATGTTTAAACCTCATTATGCAAAAATATATCGAAAAAATTATATTTAAAAATAATCTGTACTTATCCGCCTTATTATTGTTTCTTTTACTTTTTCCTTAATTATCATACTTTAGGAAGGGAAGTAATTTATGTAGTAATGAATATTTTTAATATCACATGTGATATTCACTTGAATTTTTTTTTTTAAATAAACGATATTTTATTCTTTATAGTTTTTTTTATTTCATTTCTTGTCATCACTTTATTTTCTTAAAAGATATAAAAAGGAATCTGTAAACAATACCGAATTTGTTTGACAGATTGTGTAGACTTATGTTTTACATTTCTTGTGTTAAACTCGAAAAACGTAATCTGTTACATAAAACGAATATAAAAAACTTACTTGTTAAATTGAAATTTATGTCTAAATGAAGTATTTTCTTGGATGACTCGACGAATACTTACAAAGTTTCAATGATCGTTTATTTAATAAAATTGTCTTTTTTTTTTCATAATTGATGAATGATATTCTTCATAACTAAGTTGTCGGTAGTGATTTATTGTCCACCTAGAAATATATAATAATTTTTAAATTTTCATTGAGAGAAATAAATGGAAAATTTTACATTCAAAAAGAAATATTAGGAAATTAAAATTTAAAAAACTTGAATAATTTAAAAAATACATAAATAAATGAAATACATTAAAACACTAATATATCATATTAAGAATAATAATATAAATATTAAAAGAAAATTAAGATTAATTATCTTGTTTTCATTCATTCATTTAAATATATATATATTTTAATTATTTCTTTTTATTTAGATGATATAAGCCTTTGTAAAATAGTGATGGTAATTTTTTGAATGAAATTATCAGTTGGTCCATGTTCAATAACTGATTGATATATTCATTGATAAATTAAAACAATGTTCAATTTTTTTTCTTTCATTATTATAAATTACTAACAATTAAATTTCAGTCAAATAATAATCTTAATATGGCAATCAATAATTAATATTTTCATCAGCAAAAATGTATAATCGAAATTTTCATAAATAATATTAAATTCTTAACAGTAAATGAAGTTTAAAATTGTAAAACTCTACTAAACATAAAAATTAAATCTAAAAATGATAAATATTTTTAAACATGATTTAATCATTCACCTGATATTTCCTTGATATAAAAGTTACTACAATTCTTTCAATGAAACAGTAATTTTCAGTCAATAAAATTTTATAAATTATCTTTACCCATATCCGATTGCATAAAAAGGGAGAAAGCCTTGTATTTTCTGCTTACCGAGTGCTCTGCTTTAACATGAGCAAGATTGGGAGTCTTCCGAACGACCCTGATCGATCGGGATTCAGTGCATGGTATTACTAGACTGAAGAAGTTGCTAACCTTCTATAGAAAGGGTGGCATTTTGCACGTTCTCTAGAGCGGTGTGGTGGCCTAAATGCTTGGACGCCCACGAGCGCGCCCCCCTTCAATATCAATACTAATATCCATATCCGATAAAAATCATTTTAAACGAATTATAATGATTCTTGACAATGAAACTTTTAAAAGTTGTGTAATATCAATATATACTTTATAATTTATCTTGTTCATATTCTATATAATTCCATTTTATAGTAAATTGTGGAATCTTTCTATAACTGAAAAACAAATAGAGGTTAGAAACAGTAATATAAACAATAAGTTTAAACATTACATACCTTTCATTTATTATAGAATATATTAGTTTCTATTTAAAAAAACAATCTTCGAGATATATTCTTTATACAATAGAAGATATCTTTGCTGAAATTTAACATGTTTCCAAAATTTTCTATGGTTAATGTTTGCAAATTGACGTTTTACCATAGATGTATCTCTTATAGATTCTTTATGTATTCTAAGGTTATAAGAATGCATTGAATATTCTCTCAACTATTAATGACATCACAAATCCTCAACATACCTCAAGAGTAATAGAACCAAACATATTCATTGCGACCTAATAATAAAAAATATTTGTAAAAATTAGGCTTATGTTAGTCTTTTTTTTATTCCAATGTAAAATGTATATGTTTTTTTTTTCACTTCCGATTCAACAGGTTTTGTTCTTGTTGTTGTTGTTTGGAGGAGTGTGTGTGTGTCTAAATAAAAAAAACACTGAAGATTTTTTTTATTTACATCAACATCGACAATATTTTTAAAATTAAAAAAAAACTATAGTATTGATGCGGGCAGAGAGGATGCTAGACTTGCAAAATGTTTAAGTTTTTTTCTGCATTCGTCGGAGTGAAGACGCGCCACTTGTAACTCGCTCTGCAGCAGGGCAATTTTAGTTTCAGTCTCTCTGATCCGGTCCTCGTTTCGCACCAGCTGCGACTCTAAAGCCATTTTCAACTGGAACGCTTCGCATACCACCCTTCTTTCTTCGTCGTCGATAAACGTATCGAACCAACCGGAGGAGGAGGAGGATGAGCCGGTATGCTGCTGCTGCTGCTGATCCGTTTCTTCGCTTTTTCTTTTTTTTGCGAGGCTTTGGGGGCGTCGTCGCACTACGACGCCGTTTTGATGGTTTTCTTAGTTGTTGTCGCACTTCCGGTGGTGGCGGTGGCGGCGGCGGCGGTGATGACGGTGGTGGTGGTGGCGGCGGCGTATAATGTATTTCGTAGCTCGTTAAAAATTCGTACAACTCTTCGGGGAGCGATATTTGCTGCTGCTGCTGCTCCATGATGCGCGCCCGACAGGACTGTTACATCGACACTGAGACTTACAATACATTCGCGTCGTCAATCCACGAATCGTGCGACTTGTCCAATCCCAACCAGCGTACCAAAACTTTTTTAACGCGCCTGCGCAGAACCTTTTCGACGAGATAGACGTCAGGATTGGCCGTTTTTTGCAATTCTTCTTCGTAAAATCCTCCCATTATAGGTTCACCGTTCATATCTTCGAGAAGATACGTCACCGGGTTCGTGATCTGCACTTTTGACCACTTTAAATAGTTCGGTGGTCCAATTTGGAGTGTATCCTTTGTTAAACACGTGTTTGGCTTTACTAATTCTAACCACGTCACCCACTTTCAATTTCCTAGCTCCGAATATTTTCAGGTGACTGAAAGCGCTCTTCAAAAGTGAATCGGCGTTACTTTTATTCACCGCATTAAGTTTCATTCCCGTCGTTCTGTGTTCCTTGTATTGTTGAACGACAGAGGGCAGCACGTCTGTCCAGCGGTACGCAATGCAATTTTACTTTGAGTGTCCTTATTACCCGTTCGACTATCGCAGCCTTTTTCTTGCTGTACGTACCATAATGATTAATTTCGTGCTTGACCATGAGCTTCTCAAAATTGCCATTATAAAATTCCTTGCCCAGATCCGTTTGCAGGTTTTTTGGGTGTCGATCCCGTGCGTCTTTTAGAATTTTGGCGAAGGCCTTAGTCACATCACTACCCGTTTTTCTTTTTAACGGTTCGTACCACACGTATTTTGAAAAAAAAATCGATAACAACCAAGATAAATTTAAAGTTTTTATTTTGTTTCGCATATCGGTCGAGCTGGGCCAAATCGGCCTGCCACCACGCATATGGATGCAATTTTTGCCGGAATTCGAAATCGCCATTTCTGTCCAACGAGACGTAGTTATTTTGTTCTGAAATATTGTCACGTGATTCCTAGGACCAATAGCAAAGAGCCTTATCACGAGATTGAAAGGACCAATAAAGATTCGGAAGAGCGTGCGCGTTGGAGTCGCTATTGAAGTTTCGTGATGCGGTGGCGTGTTAATACAAAAATGTTTTTTTTTTCAGTTTAATGTACTGATGGTACGTGATAGCTGTGAGGGGTAATAAAAATCAAGAATGTAATCAAGTATTTCTTCAATTAAAATAGTTTGAATGTATTAAAATTCGTAGAAAATTACGCATCAAAATTCGTTAATTTGAAATTTTCTCCCGTTTAACAATTGAAATAAGCCGACTAAGAAGACCAATACAGTTTCTAACCTTAATTTAGCTAAGAGTATTGCGCTTAAATATTTAGTTACGTGGTACGTATGGCTAGAAATCTTTGTAAAATAGAAATATAAAAATGCGAAATTCCGTTGTAAAGGTTTCGTCCGTTTGGCGCGTTTTCCATCCCCTCCCTTCGTGTAAATTTGGAAACCATTTGGCCCACAATAAAAAGAGCTGGGTCAGAAACGTCTCATTTTTACGCGCCGCTTCGAAGGTGTTAAATAAATTTTGTAAAAGTAATCTAACAGAAATGCCTTCTGCTAACGATAAGCCTCTCGTGATCAAATACACCAAAGCGATTCCAGAAGCGTATCTTCCAAGCAAAGGATTAATAAAGGCGGCAGGATATGACTTAAAAAGTGCTCTGGATTGTGTGGTATCGGCACGAGACAAAGCTCTGGTCGACACGGGCCTTAAAATCGAATTACCGGAAGGCTGTTATTTAAGAATCGCACCCAGATCTGGATTAGCTGTGAAGAATTTTATTGACGTTGGAGGTATATACTTAGAATTTGTTTCTGAAGACGCGACGAGTAAAACGAGCATTTTTTAGCCGGCGTCGTAGATGAGGATTATAGGGGCGTTTTAAAGGTAGTTTTATTTAACCACTCCGACTCAGATTTCGATATTAAAAGTGGGGATAGAATTGCCCAACTCATATGCGAAAAAATTTATTATCCTGATTTGGAGGAAGTACAGGTTAGTGAATGATTTTTCCCAAGTTTGGCATTAGTTGCATTTCATTATTTTAGGAATTAGGGGACACTGTCAGAGGTGAAGGTGGATTTGGATCTACTGGAACTAAATAATGTGATTTTTTTTTGGTAAATGCTTCCTAAATTTGGGTGTTTTTGTACTAGAAAAACAGTTTTTGATTGTATTATTCCCCTTCACTGTTTTTCACTTGATAGTATTAATTATGTGTTCAAATATTTAATTTATGTTTAACCAAATATATAATTTAGTAACAGCGAGGTATTTTTTTTTAATTAGACTTTAAGCTAAATAAGTTGTAAAGGGGGTAAATACAGCAGCAAAAAATTACTTTAATAACACACTTATTGAGTAAAACAGCTCAACAAAATTATTAACCCGGAGGCCAACGCATCTGCCTCCCGGACAAAACGTGTATGTGAACGTGATAAACAGACTGAGCGCCCACAGGCCCATCATTAATAACAATTCGAAACCCTTGATCCAACTTCCTCGTTGCAGCTATTTTTCTTGCTACAATTAGCAAATGACCTAATAGCAGTTCGTATTCGTCGGCGGCTTTGGATAACTGAGGTATTGGTTTCCGAGGAATAACCAAATAGTGTTGAGGATTTACATCGTCGAAAGCCACACACTGAAAACAAGTCAGTTGGACGAGGTTTGAACATTTGCAAGGGATTTCTTTTCTCAATATTTTTCCGAAAATTGTGTCCTCACCCGGTCGAGCATTTTGTGCCAGAGCAACCTCGTCCGACATCTTTATGAACTAACGTTTTGTCATATGTGCCTCTGGGCCATAGGCGCAAAAAGAGCGCCGTCACCCAGCCGACGAGTTTTTGCGAGTTGAAACTCGTCGGCTGGGTGACATCATCGTCCGCCGCATGGCAGCGTGGTCGCGTCGCCGGTGTGCGGCAGCGGCTGCATGACATCATCGCTTTGCGAAATGTTTAAACGAAACCTTGGCGGGTGAGATCGTCGCGTCGCCTGCCTTCGCCGCAAAAAATGCTTAAAACAAATTAATTAGCCACTCGGTCCGATTAGTAATACACACATCCTTCGACACAGGAAATACGAAACATTGATATTATTACCGCATGCGTTTCCTTCCCCGCCGGATTTTTTTTTTAAATTTTCCACACATACAATTACGTGGCCGGATGAGTACCCCGCGCGCGTGTGTTTCCGTCAGAAACTGATTAGAAATTTAAAAAAACAATAAGTAAAATATGTATATTTTATTGACCGAGACGTATATAGTGGAAAGACTCTAAAGCATTGAACAAGTTCATTTTATGAGACACGAGTTTTTCTATTTCCTCGCGCTCAAGGTATATTTCGATTAAGGGATTGAATTTTTTCAGCGTTAAGTCACATCGTTCTTCTTCGTGCCAATAAGTCGCTTGCATGCAATCTTCTAGGGGTAGGATGACGTCGTTCCATTTTAGATTTCCAATTTCCTCGTCAATAAAATATAAAAACTCCAAAAATGCCTCGTGGGTAAAGTCTAGTCGCTGCTGTCCATTAACATGCAGGCGTACTTGGGCGCAATCCATCTCAACATATATATTTTTATCGATCATTACTGTAGTATCCGGAATACGCGTAGGCGTAATTCTTCTGTGATTATTAAATGTTGCATCCCAATCACCATCCATCGTTGTTATTGTTGTTGTTGTTCAGTCAACTAACACACTCACAAAACTTACATTGTTTTTTATAACTCATACACAGTATTTATACATTTCATCCCCTCCTATCGTCGAAATTGGACGGCACATTGAGTTTTAGTTATCTTGACCAAACACTTTGATAACAAAAGTAGCGAACTGGACGCGATCAGGTATAACAAAATGAAAATAGTTTGTTTTTGATTCAGGGAAAAGTGCTTGTCATCGTCGTCGTCGTCACCACTGCCTTGGAGGCTTCTGGAGTTGTTTTTGTTTAAAGAGTCATTGCTGCTGCTGCTACTTTTGGTTAGCACTCATTGGCAGTTCAGTCTCAAACAGGTTGCCGTCCGTCGCCGTTAGATGCATCTGCAATGAAAACACCAATTTTGCGAGGGAGCCGGTCCGTCGATATGGGTTCTGCTGTCAGGTCGGTTGTAATGCACAAAACACGGCAGATGAGTTTGTAGTTCAAAATTACATTGATGTTTTCCCGGTAATTTGTGCCACATATTTAACAATTCGTAGGGTCTCACCCTTTCTATGAGGTATTGTGCCGGGAGCACTTTCAGGTCTTCGCTGTTCAAGTTCGTCGGATGGCTCAACAGTATTTTATCCATCGTGGTCACCCCCTAGTCGTCAGTTTCATTAACAAATTTTTAATCTGTTGAAACACGCTCTCGCGTGGACAATTGATGCCGAATAGACTGAAATCCACGAGTCCTGCGTTGATCAATTTATTTAAAAATTCGTTCGTAATAGGTTTTGTTTTTGAAAAAATATAAATGTCCGTTGGTCTTAGCGAAACACGCTCTTCACGCCTTGCGGAATTGGAAAATGCGTGACCCAAAACTTGTCCTTTTCCGTCAAATTTATAACTACATGATCCGTTGCCTTGACATCTTACGCTTTGTTTATGTTCGTACGATTTATCGGTGACTAGAATCAGAATATCGGGCTTCATGTAATTGTATGCGAATTCTAAATTGGAAACGGAACTCCAAATTTTGAAAACTTGGTTGGCAATCGTCCGTAATCGAATCCTTTGCCAGGGTGCCGAGGCTTGAACGTACCAATTTGAGGTCGTTTTATTCCATACCGCATTGGCAGTTGTGAAAGCATTTTCTTCTATTCCGCAGCGGGGGCTTTTTATTAGCGCTATGGTCTCATTGTTTAGAGTACCGTCCATTGGTAGATTGTACAATTCCTGAAAATCCATTAACGCTTGCTCTAAACTGACCGGATTTCACCGGCAGAAAGCCATATTTTTGTAAATAATCAGAGAGTTCCTGGTCGGTTAGCGCCGTGTTGTCTTCAGCTGTCGAGCACACAGCAAGGATAACGTAGAGAAGAAGAAGAAGTGAACAAAAATCCACAACCCTCATCTCTCTCTCAATCAAAAGTAACTGCAGTACTAAATATTCACCGATCATAACTAGCGTTTTTATAGAGGGACGTGAGAGATGATTTTTTTTATTCATATTTACTACGTGTATGTTTTTTTTAATAATACATGTTGCGCAGATCAAAATAAAACGACAAAGTTTTTTTTGAAAAAAAATTTTATTTTAATTTTTTTTTATACAATAATGGCTATATTGGCGTATACCCATGAATATAATTCGAAAATATTATTTAGGGCGCACATCCGTCGCCGTCCACCCTTGTGGAATATGCAGTTAGGCCTCTCCTTCTTCTCAAACTTTGGAGGGGGAGGTACAGTTGCGGCGGGCTGGGGGCTGGTGCCGGTGGCGACGTGGCGGTCTCGCCGTCCGCCGTCATCAAACTGTTCCACGTTAATGATGGTGGGCTTCCACGCCGACGACGACTCCAGCCTCTTGGCCAGAAAGTCCGCCTTTACCTGTCCCCTCACGTAAATGACGTCGGCCTGTGCGCTAATATGATTTATCACGTCGTCCACCCTCGCATAGTCGACAAATCCCCCGCTGTATATCAATCCATGGAGGCGATCCTCCAACCACTGCACCCCCCGCTTGTCATCGGAGGACAGCCGCCCATATTTCTTTGACGGCTTGAAAATGAAATGGCAGCTTTGACTGCCATTACATGCCGCCAACTCCTTGACGACGAAGCCCTCGCAGCTGTCTTGCAGCTGGAATCCCTGCGTGTCGACCACCACAAACCGCATGTTTACCACAAAATGTTTTGACTTCACAAACTTTGTACCACGAACTGCCCGCTCGATCAAATTTGCCTCGTATTTATTACGACAACGTTCGGACAAACACCACAACGTATTTCTTCTATAACGGAGGCAGTGTATGTTCTAAATCCTTGTTTTTTTGACCGCTGGTGGTGATGACGATGACGGTGATGGAATAACTTCGTCGCAATATAAACTTATATTGTTCGAACGACTTCTTAATTATGAACAATATTTTATATTATATTTTGGATGATTTTTAATGGATTCTTCACAAAAGCAAAAAGATTTGTTACAGCTATTACAGTACTTGGTACCGTGATAGTAGACTTTGGAGTTTTCCGAAACATCTTGTTTCACTTTTTTTTCGGTTGGCACCCCCCGCTTGTCGGTGGAGGACAGCCGCCCATATTCCTTTGGCGGCTTGAAAATGAAATGGCAGCTTTGACTGCCATTACATGCCGCCAACTCCTTGACGACGAAATCCTCGCCGCCGTCTTGCAGCTGGAATCCCTGCATGTCGACCACCACGAACCGCATGTTTAGCACAAAATGATTTGACTGCACAAACTTTGTCCCACGAACTGCGCCGCTCGATCAAATTTGCCTCGTATTTATTACGACAACGTTCGGACAATTTCGCTAAGCGGTCGGTGTTCCACGATGCAATCGTGAATGATGACGCAATAGGCGCGCGTATTTGCAGGAAATCCGTTTTTAGCCTCGACATCTAACTTAACGTCGACCGTGCTGGATTTCAGACTGTCGTTTCTTCTAGAACAATCGAAATTTTAATTTCCTAATATTTCTTTTTGAATGTAAAATTTTCCATTTATTTCTCTCAATGAAAATTTAAAAATTATTATATATTTCTAGGTGGACAATAAATCACTACCGACAACTTAGTTATGAAGAATATCATTCATCAATTATGAAAAAAAGAAATGAAATAAAAGAAAACTATAAAGAATAAAATATCGTTTATTAAAAAAAAAAATAATTCAAGTGAATATCACATGTGATATTAAAAATATTCATTACCACATAAATTACTTCCCTTCCTAAAGTATTATAATTAAGGAAAAAGTAAAAGAAACAATAATAATGCGGATAAGTACAGATTATTTTTAAATATATTTTTCGATATATTTTTGCATAATGATGTTTAAACATCTTAACGAAATTACCAAAAAACTACAATAATTTTCTAATATTTCATCGCATGTAATTGCCTAATAATATCATACATAATATCACATAATTGCCTAATTCGTGAAATTAGCAATATGACATATTTTAATTCTAACGTGAAATTTGTGACGTCATTGACAGTTGCGACGTTATCCAATACGGTTCTGCAGTGCCCATCCGAAAATGAATCTATGGTAGATACAACCACATTCGAAAACGAAGAAGAGACGTAGAAGACACCGATATGATTCTGTGGTGGAGCATTGCACGCGGCAGTTTAACCTCCGTTTTTTTTAAGTGTAAAAGTTCCGCCGGCCCCGTTGTTTTAACCGTTCACGCCGGTATGGAGGCCGGATGGACCCGGATTGTCCTTGGTGGAAGCGGGGGGAAGCCGATTTTTTTTTTGGTATCGGTCAAAATCGTTTTTTTGCTAGCTGAGCAAGTATTGGTTATTTTTCTTCTTTGTACGTGTTGGTCATTGACCAGAAGCGAAAATCCTCGACGGAAGTCGGCAATGGGCAAATGATCTTAGTAGTCGCGCCCAAGTTGCATTCCCATGCGACCCGTTTCTTCTTGGCCAATGTACCAACTTACATGTTGTTGCATTGATTCTAATTTTTCTAGGCGGTCTTCCCCGCTGATGAAACAAGTGAAGACTCTCTTTTTAGTTGTACCGTTCATGACGAAATCTTTCGTAGGTGGAATATTTTATAAGATGAACTGTTGGTATACAACACT